TTTCAATCTTGTTATGAAAGTTCATTATACTACACTGTGACATACGTCCATAAAGAATATGATGTGACTCCAAAGCAACCGTTTGTCGTCATTTACTGCTCATTAGACAAAAACTGTTGTTTATAACTTTAAAAGTTTATAGTTATTAACTTTGGTTTCAATTATAACCCAATACAAAGCAGTAAATATATTGTTATTTTTCCACGTAGAGGTATTTATTTTACACTTATATATAGAGGTGACGGGATTAAAACGGGAYTATTTATMCTCTAAAAACAAACGTGAAAAAAGCGTTTTGTCTGAAATTTGTCAGGACAAGATGATGCTAAAAAAGTGACATTTCCGTTGTCAAAGAGACGTATGGTAATCGCATAGACTTCAATATAGCGACCGCCAAATTACGTCCATCGACAGTGACATTATAATAGTGTTGCCCTTTCCTTTTTTTATTTTTTTAGGATCCGAACGCACCATTACCRGTTATTTACGAAAACCTGGGAATGCCTGTTCTCAAACACTTGGTCACCGGCGGTGCGGTATTCGCGCTTTTCACCACGTAAGCGGTTATATGGCTTTTTTTTCAATATTAATGTTGGAAAAACGCGTCGTATGATAATTTTATAATAATATAATAAATTCGATAGGYTATTATACGGTCTTAATGTCATTCGTTTTAAAGATTGATAGGATGCTTGTTCCCGATACCACGAATCCTGTACGCCATGTCCAGCGACGGATTGTTGTTCAGTTTCTTAGCGACGATCAACGAGAAAACCAAAACACCGTTCATAGCTGCGATAATTTGTGGTGTCTGTGCAGGTATGCGGCGAGTGTCCGACACGCAATCGGTTTATCTACTGCTTTCRTGTTATATAATATTTACATAGAACGATTGATATTTAGAGCGTACGTAAAATACTCAAAMATTATTACAAAGCAAATATTATAAAAACAATGCTTCCTGATTTATTATTTATCATTTCCTAATTTACATTAAATGCTCATACAATGTATTATTATTGTCACTAATAATCAATAAAATGACCAGAAAATGCCTGAAAAATTCATACAATATAGGTATATTAGTATTTATTTCATGAAACGAATTATTTAGGTACTAGGAAAGCACTGCCCTAGAACCCCCAAAAATAATTAACTTTGTATAGTTATCCTGGTGGCTGGTATTACTTAATTTTAATCACTTATGATAAYACAATACTATTAATCAATAAAATATCGTAATCGTTTCCATGCAGGCCTGTTGTCAACCATATTCAATCTCGAGCAGCTCGTTGATATGGCATCCATCGGCACGCTTCAGTCGTACATGATCGTTTGCGTCTGCGTTCTGATCCTCAGGTGTTTGTTATTATTTACCATCATACCATAATATTACTAAAACGTTCAATATAGAACTTGAGTATCACCTGTAAAGTTTTTTTATTTAAAAAACMTAATTATGTATTATTAACTAGTTTAAGACTTTTCTGGTTGATTTAAATATTTTAATTTATGTTAATATGAAATATGTTATTTTCAGGTATAAAAATAATAATTTATACAGCCGGGATTCAGTCGGCCCTAAATTTTATACGATTTCCATGTGGTTAAATGTATCGAACGCAAATGATACGAACAGGGACACCCAATACGTGTCGAGAGTATTGATATCAATTTTTAGTACGTTGTGATTAAGCAATTAAAAAACAAATTTCAACTAAAATACTATTGCGTATTAGTGTCATCTTGAAATTCGAATACGTTCTTCTATTTTACTTTGCAATTATAATAATACAATAATTTTAATGATTTCTATAATTGCTAATTTGTGAATTTGTTCTATGGTAGTATATGATATGATATACCATATATTTTATACCAACACGCATATTAATCGTATCCGGTTGAAATATGTTACAGCCGTTACTGCATGTATATTTTGTATTTGCGTGGTAAATTGGGACTCTCATAAAGCCACTGGCCGRTTAATACTAAGCTTCATAATTTGTTTGTCAGTAATTATCTTATTGGTTGTCATGTTAATGATGAACAGACTTCCACAAGCAATCGAAAGTTTATCGTTTAAGGTGAGAATTTTACTTTTTGCCGTATACCTACTATAAAACCAATAGTGTTTTATTTTAATATGGTTTGACCAAATTTTTATTGAGCTAAATTGAAATGCCCAATGGCGTATGATAGTTATATGACAAAATTCCCTATAATATTATATTCAACTTTAATACATAATGTTTCTATACACTATATTTTACGGTGTGAATGGTGTGATCCATATGTACTACTGGTATTTCAGAAATATATTATGATATTTCAATTTCAATTTTAAAGTCAGTATAAAAAATACAAAACATTACTCCTTCTAACATATCACAAGTATTTTGATCATAAAAAATACAAAACATTATTTTTGGGAAAAAAATTATATTTTTAGTATTTATTACAGTTATAATTTTCATTTTTTTTTTTTACTTTTTTATATAAAATCATACAACATACATCTCCTTTTCTGAAGCAGAATACTATTCGGGGTATTTCGATTTACAAAATCAAGTTTTGTGCTAGTAGTTTAATAGTTTAATCACCCCTTATAAGTACTGAAAGTTTAGGTAAGTGAACATTTTGTAGGCTATATCTATACTCATAAACCACTCCACTTAAAAATTTAATTATTTATAACTCACAGACTATTCGTTCAATAATTGATTTTTATGTTTTGAAATTCACCAAGATAGTAACATTCTGCTTTAAATAAGGACTACACAATAAAAAATGTAAACATTAGGTATTAGTTACTACTATAAAAAAKTGTAAAAAATTTAGTTATTTTTGAGAATTTTGCKTATTTAAAATTACATTTGAGAAATATTTTCAATAACATTAATAGTTTTCGAAATAATGAATAGCTTTAATTAAATGTGTCACTTAGTATATTATAGATATGTTTAAGACATACGGCATACCTGTCTTAGATAAAAAAAAAACAAATATTTCAAAATTTTTTTAAATATTTTTTAGGTGCCTTTTGTTCCCTTTGTACCATGTTTGAGTATAGTTCTCAACTTGTATCTTATGATGGAATTAAATTTCAAGACGTGGATAAGATTCAGCGTATGGCTAGTAATAGGTTTGTATAAACTCTTWTGGGAAATTGAATTTTATGTAATAAATGTGTATTACTTAAATCACAATGYATGTTCATTRTACATACATATACAATGACGCAGCTAAACCATAGGTATTATATTTTGTGTTTTAGGATTATTGATATACGCATTCTATGGATTGAAACATAGCATAGAAGGTATCAAAGATCAGTCGAATGAAATCAAAGAAGGCAAAAATGAACAAAAAATCTCTAACTAATTTGCTTACATGATAAAACGGTTATTTATGAGTATTAATATTATTATTACGACTATATTAACAATATTTTCAACAGGTGRATTTTACCGTGATGGTAAATTATGAGTACCTAAATGTTTATCATGTTAGTGAATTTTTATATTATTATTTTTGTAACACTTAGTACATTTACATAGTAAATAATAAAAACCCAACAAAAAACCAAAATTATTTTATTTTTTTTTTTAAGGTCAAAATAATATTTTATCTTATGTTATTATTTAATACAACGTTTAGTTGTTTTCACTCTAAATAATGCTCAARCTTATGTAAAAAATTTTAAACAATAATCTAAAGAGATATTTCAAGAGCAAATCGTACATTCGTACGTCTACGGTACGCGCGGKACTAGAATGTATTGAAAACCTAGTGATACGTGGATGGCAATGGATAATTTTTCAATTGACCTAATGCTCATTGCTCATCGCTATTGGACACAAATATCGAACTTCCGACGAAAAAATTAATTTACCACACGTGTAGCAGGTTTAACAAAACAATATCATAGCTATTTATTATGTTTAAACTATAAACTATTATTAGCTACCATTGTCTGATAACAGATATAAATAATTATAGTAAACAGACTTTCACAAGGGATAATAAACTCAAAATAATTTCTACGGTTAGCATTTTCATTTCATTTGGTCAATGTTAAGTGGTAATATTTTTTAATTAATTTAAATAATACTCAATAACAATGATAAATGAAATACATACGAATATTTAATCTTATCTAGGTAGGTAAAAAAAAAAACGGTTTATTAATTTATGATTTTAAGCTATTTATTAACAAATAGTGTACATAGTCACTTTAAGTAATACGAATAAAAACATTTTTTTAAAGTAGCATAGATATTATGATAATATAATAACTTTACATTCCTATGCATATTTATTCACATGCACCGATACAAAACTTAAAAATATTATTGCGAAATCAAATCATTATATGATCGTCATTGAGATGTGTATCACCTATTTGTTTGAATATTTTATTGTCACTAGATTGAAAAGTCGAGTAGGTTTTAWTGCCTGAATTGGTGAGCTTACAAATTATTATCTGTATATTCAGGTGTGTTTGAAATATCTTATACGATTCTGCGTGAAATTTATTAAGAAGTCAAATTATTTTTTTATCGTTGCACAATTTGTTTTGCGATAATGGCATAAGACCACATTTTGAAATCTGAGTGAACCAATAGGTGATCTTATCATGTGCTTACCATTTTAGGAAGAAGCAGTTGTACTTTAGATTTAATATGTAGCTATCCCTAACGTTCCTTACAATCGATTGACAATTTAATTATGTTGGGGTTTATTGTTAAATTGATCATAAATGTTACCAACACGTAACTTGCTTATGGGCTCACCCATATATAGAAACTGATGTTTGTTAWTATTGTTTGATGGCATTCCTTGTGGTAGCATTATCTCAGACTATTCATTTATTCTTTTGAAAATGAAAATAGTAATACATTGGAACCTTTATATAACTTTTAAAAATATTTTATCGAATAGTTATTACCCAACGAAACTGTTAAACAAATCCTTCTGTTTGTTATTTACAAGAAATGAAGTCGATTTCATTTTTTAGATTCTGAGCAGAGCGAGGAATGTACCTATTGATTTTACCATGATGTGTGTGTGTGTTTTTTTTTGGTCTGTCATCACGTTTTGGGGCTTATTTTCGACTTCAGTACCTCAATTGACCAGAAAGTGAATCTAGTTGGTACTTTGGGGGGTCAAAAGAAAAAAATTCTCAATATTTTTCTAAATAATCGGGATAAWCTAACTAAACATTCAAGGAAAAACGARAAATTTTACGCACAATTGGTAAGTAAAAATCGATTTTGGTTTTTGACGTAACTTTAAAACAGTTGACCATAGATATATGAAATTTTCACCGAATGTTTATATAAGTATATTCTATCCACCATGCAATTTTCAAAAAATTTCGAATTTCGAAATTTCGCAAATTATTTTAAGCTAGAAA